GAGACTTACACCACGACGGGTCCGATATGTAGACAGTCTTAAAGCCGGCCGAACGGTACAGAAAGTCGGCGCCGATCCGGAGAGCGCCCGTTCCGGACAGACATTGTATGCCAAACGCCTGTCAAAAACAGATGGACAATAAAACGGGTGTTAATAATAGTCAGAGTTGTTAACACACAGACCCGGCGCTCGTCGATGGCCTGACACCCGTCGCCGAGCAGTAGTTTAGTGGCCGACTGCGCGAAGAGGTCGTCGCCTAACTGACCGAGATATTCATAGTCCAGCGACTCGTCGGTCAGTATCTCGACCACCGCTTTGCGCACAACCGGCAGAACCCACGGCTTTCCCTCATCGGTCCGGTAGGCTATCAGTGGTGCGAAACAAAGAGCAATACGGGTTAGTGTATGTGTGACTGTGTCTTAAGAGACTAAGTGAATGATATATATACTCACCACCGATGCCGAGGTCTACCTTCTGGTGCCGGGTGTCGGCGGCGAAGGCCCGGTTTAGGTCAAACGTCTCGACTCCCGGCGCTCTCTCCACGCAATCAAAGCGAGACATCAGCTGATGATTGGCTGACTATTGGTTGACACAAAAAAAACTATTGGTTTTAACACTGGATTTAAATCACAGTTTGTTTTGACAATCAGTTTAACAGTCAATACAACACAACAGCACATAAACAGCTGTTGTTGTCATTCAAATGCAAACACTATTACAAACACACAATTGATTGACTATTAGCTGACACTAAATGCCATTCAAGTGTGCATTAATTTGTGTGTAATTTAAGTGCAATTAACGCAACAATTAATACTAAATATGTTTAATAATAACTGCTATTAAATACTGAAATACAATAACAAAAAAAAATTACATTAAATTTCTATGAAATGTAAACAAAACTTTTGTTATATGAATACATAAATGACGTGTAGTATTGAATTGTGGGATAAATAGTTACAAGTATTTGAATTGTGATTACACTGTAATTAAAGTATCAAAAAATAATTATAAATTAGTTAAAAGTAATTGAATTTATAAATTAAATGTCAATTATTGTGATTATGAAAAGATAATAAACATTGAAAAGAAAACAAAACGAGATTTTGAGCTTAAAAAACGATATCTAAAGTTAAGTATTACACGGATTAAGAGATTAGAGATTAAATAATTAGTTAAATAATTAGTGAAATAATTTGTGACTCATTTGGCGGTTCAACTGATCCGGCGATTGGGTCCCAAAGAGATGGACACATCTCATAGTTAGGGAACTCTGAGAAACTCGCACTGACTGTTGGCGCGTCGGCACCGCTGGAACAACTCTTCGACCATCGATTCGGTGATAGTAGCGCTCAATTCGATATCGATGTCACAAATGCTCGGATCTGCGAAACAAACGAGACATTCATTATAGCAAACAAAACACTCTTTCAAAGACAACACAAACCGTCGGAATTGCTATCAAATGTGTGCCAATTCGAGGACTCGCTTCCCAACCGAAGACACTGTTGTATGGAAGCCATCGATCCGGCGATCGGTTCCACACACAGGCCGTTATAGTTGGCGATCGAGTAATTCGAGTATACCTTCAGTCGCCGCATATTGGCGTACGGTATGAGAACCGTGTGTCGAGTGTTGGCGCCGTTGGCCGGTATGTCGCGCAGCCGCAGACCCTCGTCGGCCACTTCCATGTCGGTAACGCTGGCCACGTAAGTGCCGAACTCGGCCCGAGTGACCGACAATTTGGGTCCATTTGCGGCCAGAAGTGCCGCCAATTCTTGCAGGTATTGACGCTCCGCCTCACGACTCTTGGCCTCCGCTGTCTTCAGCCGCGCCTCCAAATCGACACACTTTTCGGCCAATGATTTGCATTCGCTTTCGATGTTTGCGTACTTCGTTGGCCACTCATTCACCGCATTCTTCAGCAGTTGTAGGCAATTGTGATCGGCGTCTGGAGCCCACCGCTGGACGGGTAGAGCGCATGTGTGGCACCGCGTGTGCGGACACGTCTTCACGTGCGCGGCCATAGTGTCCAACGAGACCACTTCGGGGCAGCCGTTCCAGCGATAGTCGCAACGGATCCGCAATCGGGCGACCATTGCGTTGAGGCGTCGATTCCTATGGACTAAGACATCGTCGCCGACGATCGCGAAGAAGCTATGCTTGGAATCAGTGGCCGACCTCTTCCTCCCGGACAGCCGTTGGCGACACTCCGGACACACTCTGTCTGCGGGCGGACACGAGCGCAGCCATTGGTCGAGACACTGGCGACAGAAGGTGTGTCCACAGCGGGTGTCCACCGCTTCGGCCAATACGTTGAGACAGACGCCGCACTCCAGCTGTTCCGACAGACACGCGGCCAGCGGTGTGTCCGCCGCTGACGATGACTGGCCATCGCTTTTAGCGGCCGTCGAGAGGTCGACGAAACGGGACAACTCGTGGCCAACCATTGACTGCCTGAAGACGTCTGAAGACTGGTTTGGTTTTGGGATTCAATTGAAATGACTGTTAAATTGATTGCGAAAACGATTTGTTGTTTTTGTTGATTGCGTTAACAATACGTCTGTCTTTCGGGCCTTTGTTTGGCCCATAAATTACGTGCAAATTGTTTGCCAATAAAAAGTTTTTATTAACGCTGAATAAAAATTAATATTAATTATAATTTACTAAATCTAATTAAATATAAATAGTGGGCACTACTTATTATTACGTATCATGGTTAATTAGCTTCTATGACAAAACAATGAATTAATTTTAATATTAAATCTATGGATAAATACCAACGATTTTTATACTTTAATTTAAGCCTGTCCAGTCTTTTTTAGTATATCACAAGTACAGTTTTACAGTGTGCCATAAAAAGGTGGCGCAACGATCAGTAAAAAAGTTTAGGTTTGTCAGTATTAAACAAGAAACACCACGTGAAGG